CGGAGCGGAGCGAGCCTGGCGGCCGAGGCGCCGCGCCGCATCTTCGGCCCGGCCCAGGAGGAGTGCGGGCGGGGGGCGGGGGGCTGAGCGGCTGCCGGGATCAGCTCCCCCGGACTTTATAGCGGCCCCTGGCCACACCCCCAGCGCCTTCCCAGAGGTGGGGGGGCGGGGTGGGGGCGACGGGGAGCGGGAGCGGCGGCCGTTAGGGGGAGGGGGCGCTGTCCCGCGCCGCCGCCGCCACAGCTGAAAGTCCTTTTGCCCAAGAAGGAAGCGGCGCCGCTGGGAAGCCCAGGGCGCTCGGAACCGAGCCCCGGAGGGGCGAGCGGGCACAGGGGCCGCGAGGGGCTGCTTCTTGGCCCCTTCCCCGCGACCTTGGAGGAGTCCTCCCTGACCCCACCCGCAGGCCCGCAGCCCCCACGCGCGCGCGCGGAGACACACTCACGCACGGACACACACACGCACACACGCGCGCGATGCGCCCTCCTAGCGCCGGCTCCCGGCTCCGCGAATTGTATCCCTGGCCTGAGACTTCCCACCCCACCCAGTGCTTCCAGTCTCAACTGCGGGAAACAAGCCTGATGAGGTGAGCAAGAGGCACAGGCGCGCGAGGAGGGACCCGAGGGCCTCGTGGCCCTCAGACATCACCACACTCCACGACCACGTGCCCCTTCCAATGTCTCCCCCAACCCCTCTCCCGAGGGGGCTCACATCTGGCGCCGGGGCCACTCTGCCTTCCCCAGGATGAAGCAAGCGAAACCCCCTCCCCCCCATAGAGGGAACCCCGGAGAGGGAAGCGAGCCTCCGTGCCAAGCCTCTTCCTCCTTCCTGGGCGTTTGCTCTACTGCCCAGACCCACTCCTGGAGGGAGACTGGCTGGGGAGATGGCCACGCTGTGCAAGTTGTGCCGTGCACAACTCCAGGGGGCGCCGTTTTACTTGGAATCGCTGTAGATGTGTGTAGCTGTTGTGACAGTCTTCCAGCAGGTGGCAGTCACGGGGCTTGAGAAAGGGGTGCCTTTTCCTAATTCGCCCAGATTGCTCTTTGGGCTGCTGTCACAGCTGGCTAAGCCCTCTGTGAGGTGGGGTGTTACCTGCACCTCCACCCTCAATCCTGCAGTAGTACCTAGGTTCCCCCAGGGCTTGCCAATTCTTCCCCCACAAGGGTCTCTGCTCTCTTGGAGCTGGTTTCAGGGGAAGAGCACCTGTACAGGCATAGTTGGTGACCCACTGTGGGGTATAGGGGCTGGCCTAGACAACTACAGGGCCAAGCTGAGGTGTAGATCAGAGGTCTTCCTGCTTCCCCTCCCAGGGCAGGGGTCTTTCTCTCAGTGACTAGGTCTCCTACCTCCTGCAAGGGCAGGCTGTCCAGGTGATCGGAGGAAGAGAAGGGCTAGAAGCTGGACCTGGAGGGACAGAACCAGAGTCATAAACTAGTAGCACCTACTGGCAGCCATCAAGACTGCAGAAGGGAGGGCTGGGGAGTGATGACCAGGAACCAGCTGCTGGAGTTCTCGCCAGGCCATGCCATCGGCCATGGAAAAGGGCAAAACAAGGTCTTAAAGGAAGCCCACCTGTCCCTGATAACCCATCGCCAAACTTAGGCCCTTTCTCATCACTGGACCCAGTTCTGCCACCAGCTTGTGTGAACATGGCCACCACCCCTGAAGCACATCCCTCACTGTAAAATGGAGGCAAGTCACCACTTGAAGCTCTTGTGAGAATAAAATGGTACCAGGAAGGATGGTTGGATCTCATTGCCAGACTGGTCCACCGACAGCAAACCTGGGAGGAGTAAAGGTGGTAGGATACAGAGGAAAGAGATGAGGAGAGGCCAGGCTGAAATGAAGAGAAGTATGTGGGTTGATGACTGTTGCAGGTAAGTGCGACAGAATGTTTCCAGGCGAGACAGATGCTCATACCTCAACCCCAGCACCACCACTCCCAGTCTATCTATTCTCTGGTGTCCCCTCCTCCCCATGTCACTGTCTGAGATCATTCCAAGGAGATGGGAAAACAGACATGAGGAAATCTTGCAAGCATCTGCCCACCATTCATGCAACACACTTCCTGGAGCTCCATCTCAGGCTTTGGGACGCATACAGGACACACAGAGGTGGCCCAGGCCACCGTGCCCAAGGAGCCCACTGCTAGCACAGAAAGGCAGGCCTTTAAATGAAATGCATCAAAGATACATGCAGGTGGCCTGGGGGAGGCGTCGCTGGGGTATGGTGGGGTGGCCCATGTGGTCAGTTCTACATCCAGGGTACTGAGACTGGCCTTAGTAGGCAATCAGTGAGAAGGGAAAAAGCTCACTGGATATGGCACCTCCTGGATTCCAGGGGCGTGGGGCGGAGATGTCCCAAGGGTTCCCTCCAGGGAGCATCCTGTCTGATGAGAAGGCAAAATGCACACAGTAATGAAAAGCGGATGAACACTGCCCAGACACTGGCCCAACAACCTCCCGAGAGATGTGCTGTCATTAACCCGTTAGGATAGAGATACTGAGGCACAGAACCATACAAAACTTACTCAAGGTCACTCAGCAGGTAAGCGGAAGATCCAGGGTGAGGACTCAAGCAGCCTGGCTCCGAAGTCTGTATTATGAAACCCGTTTCACTGTCTTCCAAAACCGTTGTCAGAGGTGCTCTGAACAGTTGTCAAGGGCAAAACCAATTCAGCCAAGGAGCCGGGTGTGATGCCCAGAGCCCAGGGCACTGGCCGGAACTGCCCTAGGGCTCCCCGTGACTTTGGTTTCCCAGCCCCTCCTTGGCTGCCCCAGCCGCCCCCTGTGAGCATGGTGAGTAAGGAGCTCGGCTTCCCTCTGTGCCAGCTGACGCCCAGGCCCCAGCAAGGGCACCCTCCACCACCTCCTCCAGCAACAGCACAGTCGATGTGGCTACTGGCGACCCCAGCAGGGCCGCAGCACCTGGAGAGATCCACCAGCAGACAGAGAGCATGTCCAAAGGAGGGAGCCTGGGCCCTTCCCCCAGGACACGCAGCTCCAGAAGTGAAAACCAGGCAGGGGAGCTGTAGGGAGAGCAGAGTCCATCTGCAGTCGGGCTGGCCAGGATCTGGTTTTGTGTCTCTGGTCTAGTCAACGCTGCTACTTCCAGCTTTGAGGCCACTTCCCCTTCCTCAGCTTCAGTTCTACCATCTGTAGAGTGAGGGAGGGAAGTCACTGGTCTGTGAAGTCCCTGGGGGTCACCTAGGGATCTTGGACCCTCCATTCCTTTTGCCCGGTGCTGGCACAGCTCCGCCCTTGGGGTTTTCACTATTGACAGAAACCAATGGGATCTTTCTCCTTGCTAAAACCAAAAGAGGAGATCACCAAGGGAATGGCCTGGGGCCTGGCGAGCGCTCATCACTGTCCGAGAGGGGATGAGGGCCACCGGCCCCCCAACACTGCTCCTATCTAAGTGGGCCAAGACATTACTTCCTGCCATGGACTCAGCCCACCGGGGGCCGTGCAGCCCCGCTTCCAGAGTATCACCCACAGTCAAGGGCACACGAGTCTAGGGGAGCAGGCTGAATCTTGCCAGAGGAGAGACATAGAGGGGACTTTGAGCAGAAAGACACAGATATTGGGGCAGAAAACACCTTGCCCTGTCTCCCCTAACACTGTTGAGTCAAAGAGCAGGGTGTCTTTTTGCCAGGACACCTCCTAGCCTGAAGGATCAGAAGCCCATACCCTTCCCCCGCCCCCATTCCCTGGAGGCCTCCAGGTCTGTCTCCCACTCCCCCACTTCTTAGAAAACCCCTAAGATACAACCAAAAGGACCTCTGAACCCAGAGTGACTCCCCCAAAGGGGACTCAAGGATTAGAGAAACCCCACAGAGGGATTCTCCAACTCATAAAAGCCCAGAGAGAAGGCCTGGGGTCCAGAGAGCTCCCCAGTACCCACACGGGGCCTTCCTCCCCAGCTCCATGTCTTGCTTCCCGCGAAGCACTGGGGTTCACAGATAGCCCCAGGATGGCTTCTGCTTTGTCCCAGGCCTCTGCCTCATCATCCCTGCCCAGACCAGGATCTCTTGTCCTTCACACTGGCCTTTATGCTTCTTTCTTTCTTCTTCACCCCTACCCACTTCACCCTCCTCCCAAGATCTCTGGTGCCCAGACTGCCAACCCACTAGGATGATTCTCCTAGCGACCTGACCCTGTAGGAGGTCACCTGGCAGCTGCCCTGGGTCCATCAGACCTTGATCACTTTCCTTAGGAAATGCCAAGATCTTTAGGAGCTCTGGACCAGTAGTGAGATGAAGACAGTATATGTTTCTTATAAATCATAATATCACACCTCCCAAGGGTTATCTAGGGTTTCTGTCAATTTCAGAGGCAGGAAGAGGCTGCCTGTAGGTCAGAGAGTCCATCCCTCTGCACCTCCACCCAGCCTCCTCTATCCCTGCAACCACCTTAAATGCCCTTTTTCACTTTGTTCCAAAGACTGCTCACTTTTCTCTGGGTCTTTTAGTTCCTCTCTCCAGCTAGAATGCCACAACTAAAATGTGCATTACCCATACATCAACAGCTGTGCCTGTCTTTCCTTCTCTTCCCCCTGTTTTTTTTTTTTTTAAAGATTTATATATTTGTATTGTATATATTGTTTTTTTTTTTTTAAAGATTTATATATTTGTACATCCAGAACTGGGGTACAGGCCAGAGGCTCAGGGGTGGCAAGAGGCTTCACCAGAGACAGAGTGGGGAGCAGAACAGGCAGATCGACGAAGTACATTGCTGAGGGGAGCAGCAGGCCGGTCAGGAGAGCTCTGCCTCTCCATGTGGTCACCTCCGGGGCGGGTGGGGATCGAACTCATGCGGAAGTAGCTTTAGCTT